ACTTTTATTTTCATAGTGAATTAATAAACTTTGTTTCTCAGTAACAAACTCTTCTTCGGAAAGAGCTGACAATGACATATATATTCTTCCCGTCATAAATATACCTGTGGAGCTATCGTTCTGTTTAATAATCGCGAATTCGTCATGAACCAAATTTATCGCCTATGACGCCCTGACCAATTTTTAGAGCAAACGTTTTTGTATTAACAATTGCAAATAGTTTCTATAAAGTGCGATTAATATTTTGTATAAATTCAATATCTTGGTCTTAATTATGTAGTCCTTAATATATTTCTGATGCATTTTTATATATTAACTTTCTAAGTTCTCCCAAACAGAAGCGGTTTTGGGTAACGTTCTTGTAATTATTTTTATTTATTTGAGCATAAACAATGGACACTTTTTATTGGGCGCGATTTTAATAATAACGCGAGTGTAGCATGTTTTCTTAAATGTAGAAAAAGAATATTAATTCTATATTTCTTGTACAGGCATACATGTCTAATGTTTCGCTGAGATTCATTAAATTCTTCATTTTATAAAAATATTATGCACTATTAATATTATACGTTAGTTGACTTTACAAAGATTAGAAAAAAATATTGCAAGTTTAAACAGTGTTATATTAGTTGCCCTTAATTTTCTGATAAAAATCACATAAGCAGCTTATTTGATTAATTCACAAATTTTAGACCATTTAGTTTCTAATGCTTCGCTAAATTTCAGCGTTAAACTAATAGTTATATCAGGACATCAGGTTTTTACGAATCCGCCGTTATTATATTGATCAAGCTTTGACACGCTAACGTTATAACTTATGGTTGATAGGTGTTGCAATTAAGGATTAACGGTAATTCTACTTCTAGTAATATAATGCTTTCAAGAATACGTGATTTCTAAATATTTGTGATTAAATTATACACCTAGGTTATAAAATTTATGTGGTTTATTACTTATGCTTTAGTATTTATTTTAAACTAGGCTGAAAAATTAGTTCAGGTATTTTTATTATTTATTTTGAAATTAAATTTGATGTCTTAGTAACTTTTTAGTAATACTAATAGTAATAATATTAGTAGCGTACTCTGTCTCTAGTCTTTTGAAATTTGAGTACTAGTTCTACTACAACTTTTAAGTAGAAGTACTACTAATTATATTTTAAAGTATTACAATAGTAATACTTGTGGTACTACTACTACTACTACTAGTAGGCTAATTTTTTTTAGCATTGTTGTTTAGACTTTAAATTAAATTCAGTGTTTACTGTTGAACTTGAAGTTGAAAACAAAAAGTGAAGACAAGTTGTTGGCACATGCACATGTAATACCTATATAATATATAGCTTTTACCCGGAAAATTTAAATTATTAATATTAGTAAATATTATTAATATAAACTTCAAGTCCTAGGAGAATGAGGTTTGAATAGAACCTGACCATTCCAGGTTGCACAATGACCAAATACCAATCCATACAAGTAGTAGTTCTAGTTATTACTAACTTTGAAGAGGTCTGACCCTCCTAGATTCTGAAAAGGATCCAGATCCCAATTAAGATGAATCATTCTTACAAAGGGAGGAAGAGGTCTACATAGCACCTGAGTCTTCCCAATCAAGATTGAGCTTCTTGATAACAGTGGTTGCATGAATCCAAAAACAGCATTTTTTTTTTAAATAATGGTAATAATGTTCTTGTATATCTTAAAACCATGCTAAGGAGTGTGAAAGAGGCTCAGTTAGAGTGACTGCCCAGTTAATTAGGTTAGTTACTCCAAAGGACCAATAGCTACAGATATTTGACTTTCACATTATAAGGCAAAATTGATTGAATAAACAAATCTGTATGTTCATAATAGATGAATGAAATTTCAAATGAAAAATTTAAAGGGAATATCTTGACAGATGTTGGGGGGTGGACCACCTCTGACACCTTGCTCTTGTTTTAAATACAAAGAAATAGAATATTTAAATTGACATTGTAGTGTACAGCTCATTGCATTGGTTCGGTGGCAAGATAATTTTATTAAATGGAAGCTTTGGATATGTTTAATGAGTTGGGAAGATAACATTTGTTTCACAGCACTATGGAATATCAATCTTGAATGCCCATTCTCTCAGAAGAACTAGATTCCCAGATCCAATCCTGATGCATAAATATGTGGGTTCTGCAGCTAACACTATACATATACATGCATACAATAAAATAATATTGGGGTAAATGATGGTAAACATTATCCATATATTCATGAGAAATTGCAACTTTTTAGGTCATATGCTGGGGTGTTTTTGTAATAATATTTTACAAATTTAACCAAACAACAATTTAACATTTAACTGTTAAAAAAAAAACTTTGGAGTAATGGGCCCTTGGACTAACAGACAATCACCTCATTGAGCGCCTGACCTTCTCAGACTTATGATAAAAACACAACCACAATCATATGGTTTTTTACTAACATTCATATCACTATATGTAATTGATAAGTGATTGAACCTTGAAACTAGACATTTTATTCATTTTGAATGTAAGTTTTAATTTCTAGGTAAAATGGAGAAGGTAAATTTTATAGATTAATATAATGTAAATAACCTTAAAAGTGAAAACATTTCAGGGTAATAATAATGAACTTATGAATTGGTATGTTAATTTCACACCATTAAGCTGTAAAATATTTAGGGTGGGCAGAATAAATTATTTTTTCAGCAAAAATATTGTAAGTTTAAATATAATTTTGTGCAGAGTATATATCATGAGAGTAGAACCAGTGAAAGCCTCAAAGTTCACTAAAATGTTTGCGAGATTTTATTATCAAAAATTGGAATCTTAGTGGTTATCTATATAGGAAAATTTAAAGATATTTTCCTCTACAATGCCTTTAATATACCAGAGATAGTGCAAAAAACACGTCTAGTCTTACATCAAACATCTACCACTTCACCAGTGTTCGTTTTGATCCTTATAGGTAAACATTAGAGACAGCAGGTTTGCTTTTCGCACTATTTCCACAGGAATTTGTATTTGTCAATTTACTGTGAAAATGTATATAGTTCTCATTTAGTAAGCATCAGAATAAACAATTAGTAATTAACTAAATATGTTAAGAAAAAGCAAATTCTATTAAATCTATTTTAAATTTTCTTATTAAACTAAATTTGTTCATTTGATACACATCTTTACTTCTAGTACCAAACAGACTTCTAAACCTCATTATTTTGAAATTGCTTTCATTCAATAATCATTTGAAGTTAAATTATTTGTAATACAAGTAGTATAAATATGTTTCTAATATTGTTTTATACCTGGATGACTGTTCAACACTGTGAATTTAAAAAGGATCTAATATTGCATAAGGACAGAAATTGATCATTTGGTTTATAAAGGCTTTCCTTGCATACACATCTTTGAGGTTTGGTTTAAGTTTTTCATTTTTCTGTATGGCCTCTTGTCAGAATACACACAAATAAATCAGAAGCCTTTATCCTATTGATCCTCTGGATAATATTGCAATCTTCAATAGACTCATCTTGTACTCTTCTTAACAATAATAACAAAATTGTGCAAAGTATTCGATGTGAGGCCTAATTAATTACTTGTATAGAGATAATTATATTTTTTTTACTTTAACACCCTAAAATCCTATTACCTTTATTACTAGTAACAGAACATTATTTCAATGACTTATCCACTGCTATGCCAAGATCTTTTTCTTTAGTACTGTAATTTAGGATCATTTGCCAAATATTTGGCCACTGTAATTTACCCAAGGTTATTCTCCTGTACCTCAACATCCTCAGTACAAATATAAATTCCCAAGTTCTTGTCACCAGCAAACTTTACTAATTTACTAGAAAAAGCCAAGGTCCAAGCACTGGCTTCTGAGATACAGTATTTATAACAAGGGTCCAGTTTGACTGGACACTATTAATAAAAAAAACTTTTGCTATCTCTCATCTGACCTCCCTACAGTCCAATTAAATAGTCTTTCCCAAATACCCATGATGTGATGACCTTAGCTAATGTTTTATGTGACACATTATTAAAAGCTTTTTGAAAATCTTAGTACACAAAGTCCACACCTTTTCCATCTTTTAGATAATAAGTGACATCTTTGAAAAAAGTTGACAGATTAGTAAAGCAAAATTTTCTTTTAGTGAATCCATGTAGGCTTTCTTTAATATCATATTTTACTGAATGATTTTGCAAAGCTCCTTTTATGAGACTATAATTTTTCCAACTACAGAAATAAGATTAACTGGTTTATAGTTTCCAGAGCTATTTTCATAATTTTAAGAAATGGAATAACTAGCAGATTTCCAGTCCTTAGGCACCTGCCCACTGTCTGTAGACCAGCCAAAAATGAAAGAGAGAGAGTAATTTGCATATTGTTTAAAACTCTGGTAAACCTTATATGGTCATAGTGGTTTATTTTTAATATCTTGGTATTTCCACTTACAATTAAGAGGTTAATATTTACATGGTGGAAGTCAATTCCAATATTTTACAAATAATGTACAGGGTCATGAATAATACTAATACCTTCTCATGTAAGAAACATTTGAAAACTTGGCCATCTCACTGACCTCAACAAAATTCCTGCCATCAGCATCCTTTAAGGGATCAATCCCCATTTCATCATTTAGTTTACTGTTAATAAACTTAATAAACTTGCTGTTTTAATTTTTATTTCTTATTTGTAATCAAATCTCTAGATTTCCTACAGTTTTGAGAATCATCAATTCTGCAGGATCTGTCAATTTATATTTTTTGAACTTATGGCATTTATCTGTAATTTTCTCATTTATGTTTTCTTTAAAAAGCTAATTTGCTTTAATCTCTCCTGTTATCCTTTTCTTATTTTTAGGAACACATCTATCTTTAATGAAAAGCAATTTATTTTTACATTTTCTAAATCTGTCCTATCTCACCTTTTAACTCATCATCCCACTTCACTAATGATAAATCTGGTCTCATGGCCTCAGAATTAACTTTCTGAAAATTAGGAACTAAACTTTAATTTCTTTTTATTTCAACATGTAACAAATCATCTCAAATCCAAATATACAGTGATCACTTTCCCAAATGTTCCCCCAGTTCATGTCTTGCAATAACTTGCTCATTAGTGGTTAACAGTAAATCTTAAAATTGCATACCCTATGGTTGGCTCTCTGACCATCCTGAATTGCTTCAAGAAATATCTCTGCTCCTCAGTATTCAATAATTTTCATGACTCAGTAAGAACATGGAAAATATATTTAATTACTTAATAGTAACACACTTGAGGTGTATTAATTTGAAAATATTTTGTATGAGAGAGAGAGAGAGAGAAGCAAGGTGTTGTAGAAAAATTGTAATTGTGTGTGTGTGTAATTATTGATAAAACCCTAACATTTTTAGGTGAGTGTTAACCTGTGGTAAATAGAGGAAATAAAGTTATGAAATTTATAAACAAATTTTCAATTTAAGAGCAAAAGGGTTGTAATGTTATTTCAGAAATATATCAGTTAAAATTATAAGCTTGTGAAATAAATTTCATGGTGATTGTGTTTAGTTGCAAGCTATTTAAATATTTGTTTGATAGTTGTATGTCTGTGAACTTGTAAAATTCCACATTAATTTTGAATTAGAATTTGATTTTTTTTATTTGTTTTATTGCTTTTCCTGTGCTCTTACAATATGTTAATATACTTAGGGCTAATTTCTAAGATCATTGTAGACTGCAATTAATATGTTGAGGAATGATTTTGAAATTGGAGTATCGAATGTCCTGAAACCCAAAGATTTTGTTTTATATACATGTCCTCAACTACTGGTAGTGCTAAATTACCTTTCGCACACAACTTCTCACAATCTAGGGACAGACCCAGATGTTGGTCAAAAATAAGTTGAATGGCAAGTAGTTCAACTGCAGAATTCGTTTGGAATGTTTATGACAAGGTGTTATTTGGTCCATCTAGGCTATACAATGTTTTTTACCATTCTATTTCAAACTGCATATAGAAGTCCATTTTACTGTATCCAATCCTAATTTTTAAAATACTTATACAGCTTCATTATAGCTTCTTCACTGTTGTAGTTTCTACCACACCTGAAGGCAAACTGTTCTACTTTATTAGAATAGTAATTTTTAATTGAATTTATGCGAGGGTTTTCCATATCTTAAACATGTGTCCTCTAGTTTTACTACTTGCTGAGTTTTTATGAAAATGGCATCTGAATTAATGAATTCTAAACGTCTGACAATCTTGCAACATTCAGTGATGCTTCTCCAAGTCCTCCTTCACAATCAAAACATGTAGAACAATTTCTTCCTGTCTCAATCTGACAAACCATCCAAATCTAGAACAATTCTGGAAGCTTTTCTCTGAACCCCAATCAATAAATTTATACTGAAAACAGTATTCTAAATGATATCTAATTAGCACTTTATACAGTGAAGTGATGACCTCATTTGAATTGCACTTTGTATTTCTATGTATACAACTAAAACCTGTTTGTCATATTGCTAGCTAATGAAAATTGTCCAGAAGGCTGTAGAGATTTTGTAATAAGTATGGCCAGATCATTTTCCTCATGAACTTCACCTAAAGCTTTCCAAGCAAGAGTATAAGTAATGTTGTGATAATCAATCGGCAAAGATCTTCAAGAACATTGCATGAGACCTTAACCTTAGTGTTTGAATTTAAAAGTATATAGATAATTTGTTTGTTGTGTATCATTTTAAAATGAGAAATAATTGTATACATGTTTCATCTAATTAATTAAATGATGCACTAATTCAAACTTAGTTGAGTGGAAATTCTTGTCTTTAGAGTAATGTAGAATATGGTAATGTGAATTTCGAAACTGTTATAGATTGTATACATCCAAAAATGATGTATGCATGAAGATTTTTAATAGCTACTTTTTAAAGTAAAACTAAATTTTTCTTTATTAATAGTTTTAAATAATTATGATGTTACACACTTCTAGAATCTAAAATTGACATTCAACCTACATTTGCTAAAACAGGAGAATTGTGTTTTCACATAAAAGCAGTTAACTCAGTTTTTAGTAAGTATAAACTGACATTATGCATTTTCTATTATTTACCAGATGCTTGTGACCAAAAAGGGAAAGTACTGATTGCTATTTTAAATGATATAATGCTAAAAACGTGTAATATGGATTTATGGTCCTGTAATTAGATGAACTTGAGGTGTAAGCAAAGTTATTTCTTGCTCCATTAGTATAGTTTCATTAAACTTGTTGAGTAACTTGAGTGAATGAGGCCTGTAAATAAATAAAATGAGGCTATTTTGGTAACAGTTTTTCATCTCCCTTGAGAAGAATATAAACCTGAAACCAGGCAAGTGCTCTATCAACTGAACTGAAGAATTTACCCACTTAGTAAGACACTTAATTTAAACTGCCACACTATGTATGCATTTTATTATTTGTGAAATAAGATCTGATTTGTCAAAAATGATTTTGATTTGAAGAAGTTGTGTTATCTTAAAAGTTAATTTCTTTTATTTTGATTTTCAGATGGCTACCTCTAGTTCACTGACTCCTATAGGTTCTTGGAGTGGAAGAAAACATTCAGGGAGGAAACTTCACAAAAATAAAGAAAATAGATGTAAAAAATAAATACTTTTTATATTACATTCAGTATATATATATATATATATATTATGTGTGTGTGTGTGTGTGTGTTTAAACATGAATAATAAATTATATACATTTTTCAGTAGCTATTACAATATTTTATTCTTGATTAATTTGGCCCAAACTCTACTTTTACTTTTATTAACATTTTTTAATGCACAAAATTTCTATTCTTATAGGACTTAGACATTGACACTGAATGGTTAATATTAGTATGTATTTAGCTACATTGTCTTTTATAGTTAATAATGAATAATATGTGTACAAAAAACTGCATTCTAGGATGTTGAGCATAAACATTGTTGAGAAGTCTATAAATTATAAATTTTTGATGGTAATACCCCCCTAATCCCCATAGGATTAATATTAGTCTTGCATACACTTTAGTCCTTTTAGGTAACCTTTGCTTCTTCTGCCTGCATGATTTAGATGTCCAAGACCCCTTTTTTCATGAGTTCACTCACAAAAGATTTTGAACTGGGTTCTTGTTATGTGTTTGTTAGATTGATTTTCAGACTAGATGCTTCTTAACTTTAATCAACTATATATAAATTGGTCATGTATCATTCATTATTCTTCACAAAAGTACAAAAAGAGTCTAGTGTAGATAATTTCTGTACGTGTGAGGACCATCATTACTTTTGTTGGAAAATTTTTTAGTAGTTTCTTATCTAACTCTATCATGCCTGGATGGGTACGTTCCTTTGAGGTGAATAAAAGATAGGGGAAAGGGATAAAACATCACAAGCCTGAGACACAAAATCTATGAAGACCAAATTAGGCCAAGATGAATCCTCAGGTTCAAGTGGGAAGGAATGGCAAAGTCTGGAGGCGGGAAAAGACAATCAAAATCCTTGTCATTTTGAATAATGTCTGCCGATTCAGAAGCCTGGGGGATGTCAGGAGATAAAGGTTGACCCATGTAGCATTCAATCTCCCAACATATGAAAGCAGAAAGAACTACCATCTGGTTGCCTGCACCTGAGGCCTGAAAAACAACACTGGTCAGTGGTGTGACTTCCAAAGTGGTAACGTGAACTTCATAACTCAAAATAATGCACACAAATGGTCGAGTTTTGCAAAAATATATAGCAACAAAATAAAGTGGTTGCTAAAAAAGAAAAGTTAATCTTAAAAAAAAAACACTTTGGACAAAAAAAATTTTGTCGTCAAGGGAGCATGAAGTTCAAAAAAGATGTCTGAACTCAAACACTGCCAATCAAGAAGTGAAGGTTTGGTAGAGGAGTATGAAAGGAGTCACTTGAGCATGTCATGCTACTATTGATTAAGAGATGACGCATGATGATTTACATGAGAGACATGTTGGAATATGATAATTCTAACAAGTGGGGAGTGCAAGTCTTGTGGCATGCATAAAAATAGTTTGCATGTAGAGGGCAGCACTGAACGAGAATAGCTATTTTTGTGAGGGAGGTAAGTACCGTATGGGAATCAACTGTTGTATGGTTTCTTTAAAAAATATATAAGAACTGTTGTATGAAAGAAATTGAAATTTCAGAAGAAATGTGTACAAATTATGTAGCTTCTGCAAATATAATATCTGATTTTTATAAGTGTCATTTTTAAAGAATTTGCAGATTTGAAATTTTCAAAAAATTTCTTTGTAATACTTTTTTTTTCAGAAACAAATAATAAATGTTTACCTTTGATGTAGGCTTTAATTACTGATTTTTATAGCATCTTACATTTTTCTAAAACTTTCCTATAAAGCTTTTATATTATATAGCTATAAATTTTATCTTTCTTTTAAACCAAAAAACACCAAATGCAGTTTCACTGTGTTAAATCACAAGCTTCTAATAAAAATTTATTTTACCATAACAAAACTATAAACAAGCCAACTTTTTAAAATTATTAATCAGAGGGTTTAATTTAATATATGTAATATGTTTTAAATCCATTTTATATTCATTGAAACTTAACACTTTTGCTGCATAGTTCGGACATATCTGAATAAACATTTATACACGCTGACTGCGAAATTCAGATATACCCCATGGCTACCAAAAAGTTTCCCTCTACTGCAACATGCAGGAATGTCCCTCTGTACTTGAAACAATCACCAAACTTGCCTGTGTGTTGCCATCTGTGTTTTATGCCATGAAACCTGGATGTTTATATGCCTCATTACAAAATTGCAGGAACACAGAGAGAATCAATGGAAAGACATATTTTTTATATCTTGGATATTGTTATCTAAATAATTTGTTTTATATTTTGGCCTCTTATTGACTTAATTTTGCCTATATTTATGCCATTTACTGAAAAACACTTTTCTTCTAATTTTCCTGGATTGTTTGTTTTAATCATTATTTTTCACTATCCAGTACCATTTTCAAGGAATATTACTGACAGATATAGAAAATACAGCTTCTTTCAATATTAAAAAGTAATACAATTGGTCAAATTCATACTTTTATTTTTGGTGGATAATTGACACTTTTTTGAAATCAGCGTGAAAATTAATTGTGCAGTGAAAGGGTTAAAAAAGTCAACTGCAAAATGCTTTAACTAAGCCTACGTCATCTTGTTTCATGAAGAACTTTTCTTAGATTTTTCTATCATATTGCAATATCATTATTCAAATAAAGTATAATATGATAAAGTAAGCTTTAAAAAGAAAACAACTGTATTTGTTGTGGAAGTTATTAACAAACATCTTTTCTTCTAGCAACATATCACCAAGCTAAGCTTTTATAACTTTGTTCCAATATCCAGTGAACTGAAAGCCATATTGGTATTTTAGTTTAAATGAGCAGAGAAAGAGTTTTCTCTACATGTTTAGACCTGTAACCTATGATTTCTCGAAGCTGAAGTATAAGTAATTACATCATACGATGAACCAAGGTTGAAAAACCGTGATTAGCTAAAATCAATAAAACCGAACTTGTATTGAAGTTACAAAGTGAAGTTAGCACTACTTTGTTCAAAACTATGTTGGGTTTTATCCTGGAAGCTACAAGTACCATATTATGATCAGAAAAAATTTAGAAAATTCATAAAACTAACATTTTCATTTGGAGCTTGCTGAACTTAGTCCAAAAATCGTAACTTTCAATTTTTAATTTATTTTAATGTATAAAATGAAATAAATAAAATACTTTATACAATAAATTTTAACTCTGAAATTTTATTTTAATGTGAGGAAGAACAATTATAAGTTTATTTTCTATACTTTTTTTTAACTCAAAGGGACGCACTCATCCAGGCATAATAAAGTTAGATAAGAAGCTACTAAAAAATTTCCAAACAAAAGTAATGGTAGTCCTCACAAGTACAGAAATTATCTACACTAGACTCTTTTTGTACTTTTGTGAAGAATAATGAATGATACATGACCAATTTATATACAGTTGATTAAAGTTAAGAAGCATCTAGTCTGAAAATCAATCTAACAAACACATAACAAGAATCCAGTTCAAAATCTTTTTGTGAGTGAACTCATGAAAAAAGGGATCTTGGACATCTAGATCATGCAGGCAGAAGAAGCAAAGGTTACCTAAAAGGACTAAAGTGTATGCAAGACTAATGTTAATCCTATGGGGATAAGGGGGGGGGGGGTATTACCACCAAAAAAATTATCATTTATAGACTTCTCAGCAGTGTTTATGCTTAACATCCTAGAATGTAGTTTTTTGTACACATATTATTCATTATTAACTATAAAAGACAATGTAGCTAAATACATACTAATATTAACCATTCAGTGTCAATGTCTAAGTCCTATAAGAATAGAAATTTTGTTTTCTTCTTGTGGGGATGTTATTCCCTTTGGATGGTGCTGGCCTATGCCATGGTTAGAGGAGTTGATTATATGCGATTAACATCCTTTTGATACCGGATCTCTATTCCTGGATCGATAAAACTGAGAATTCTCGTGACATATCCAGAAATCGATGGAGATCTTAATCCACGATTCTTGGGTTTCAGATGAAGACAGTATGATCTTCATCCTACTCCTGTGAGAAGGTTTTGGATGTAGTTGACTTACCGAGTATGGTCCGACACGCCCTAGCCACTCTACATCTCACAATTTCCACCCTTGTACATGACACACCCTACAAAGGGGTGAAGAGTATACCTGGCTCAGAAGTGGTGCAGTTCCCCTCTTCTGATATTTGGATCTGTCTCATGGTCGGGGGTATCCTTCTGAGTTTTTTGGGGGTACTTTTTTCCCTCCCTCGTTAAGGGCCCTTTTCCTTTTCAACGTGAGATTCTAGCTAATTTTGTGAGAGGAGGTAAGTACCATATCAGAAGTTATAATTTCCCTATACTGAAAATGTATTTCCGATAGGCACTTACCTTCTCTCACCCTTTCTCTCCACTTCTCTGGTGCTCATGCCTTGTGCCAAACTTCAAAGTGAAGGTTTGGTAGAGAAGTATAGAAGGAGTTGTATGTGTCATGTGGGCATGTCATGCTACTATTAGTTAAGAGATCATGCAGTATGATTTGCATGAGAGACATGTTGGAATATGATAATTCCAACAAGGGGGAAGGGCAAGGCTTGTGGCATGCGTAAAGAAAAGCTCCCATATAGAGAGCAGCACTAAACGTGAATAGCTAATTTTGTGAGAGGAAATAAGTACCTATTGGAAATGCATTTTCAGTATAGAAAAATTATAACATTTATACTCATAGGTGTTCGAGAATTAAGTTGACCAATTTTTCACCATTTTGAGGGAGCTTTGGATTGAAAACTCACTGACTATCAGAAATTCAAACTCCTGTATCTGTAGGATACTGAAATATTTAGCTTAGTTTCATTGTTCTTGAAGTTCTATACCAGCTTTGTAGCATTTGTTTTATTATAATGACTGTATTACAGCTTACTGTGAAACTCAGTTTCCGAGTGTCATTAGTTGTTTTTTTACTCACCACAGAGAACCTTTATTTGTATAGGATTTGAAGAATATGTAGCACTGGTGCTACCACATTATTCAGCAGACAAGCTGTTTAAAATACTAAAAACAAATATGAAGCCCAATGTATCATTTGATTTATCACTTGTCACTGAGTTACAATGGTTTTCGACAAGGGCAAGGCAATATAAATTGGGCTTCATAGTTATTTAAGTACTTTAACGGCTTGTCTGCTGAATAATTCAGAAGAATTAATTAGTAACATCAATGTTACATATTCTTAAAATCCTATATGAACATAGATTCACTGTGGTGAGTAAAAGACAACTCAAAACACCATACATCACCACTATAAGAACTGGTCTTGTTTTATTTGCTCTTGTCCAGTGGAATTCCCTAATACTAGATGTGCAACAATTCATTGAATATTGATTTATTGCAATCTTTTATAAAACAATCCAGTACATGATTCATAGCTTATATATTATGATACAGAAATAGATATGACAAATTATGCTTTAATTTATAATCTGCCACAGTGTATTGGTCTGAAAATAATAAAAGAAAAGGCTTATTTTCATGATCCTATGGCTGTACATAAATTGTTCATGAACGTACCATATTATACAATGTGTAGCACGGCAGCTTGTGGAATTCAACTTCAAGAGCAATGGTGAGAAAGGAGTCTAAGCTAAGTGAATGTGAAACTCAAGAACCTAAAACTTGGAGCCATTCAACACTATAGTTCAGTAGTGTGAAAATACTTTGTCTTCCTGTCACTAAATAAAATGTCTTAACAAATAAGAGTAATTTTATGTATTTAAGTAAAATTATATTTGTTGATTTTTTTTGTAACTGTTTTAAACATAAGGAAGTGGCATACTCTTTATTGGTTAATAAATGTGCTTTTGTTGCAAGACTAGGTGTTGATTTAAGAAATTTAACATTTAAAAGTTATTTAAACAGAGATGTGGGAAAGTTACATGTATCATGAGTTTAGTGTATTCCCTCCTCCCTACCCCAAACTGGTATAATTAGGTGACAAGTAGTGATTAAGTGATAGATTGGGCTTTTTATTTTTAGAATTCCTAGAGTGTGTATGTATTTTATACTTCTGTGTAGATTTACATCTCCAGCTGGTCAATGTTTTAAATTATCATAATATTTCGTAGTTTTTAGGAAAAAAATGTTTATATTGAGAAATATATCTAAAATGTCAATACAGTCTGAAAGTAAAATGTCATATGACAATTGGATTTTTTTATTTCTATAACCTTGAAAACTTATTTTTTTTCACTTAGGTAAAAGTTTTGCTTTCTTTATGCCTCAATAAATCTTCAGATAGCTGAAATGATTTTTTGATGATACACATTAAAAAGCCACTATATGACTTGTGTGTAAGTGTTTAATCATACAGCAATTATACTTGCTTTATGTTATAAGCTTGATAGGAAATGTAGTGGAAAGCTTCATTTGTGACAGCTATTCTGAGAAGGGTTAAAGTCAATGGCATTAAGGGCTTTGATTACATGGGCCTGTGATGGTTTTATTGTCTTGAAATTTTTACATGTTCGACGGTAATTCCTGTATGCTGAATCTGAAAATGATATTCATGTTTCTCCATCACGTACAGATTTTTCACAAAATGTCATAACGCAATACATTTGACATGAGTGTTCTTCCCTTTTATTCAGTTTGTTTGTACTTTTGTCAACAAACATGATAAAAAATGTTCATTGTGGTGAATAAAATAAAAATTTGATCTAAGTAACAATTGTTTTTCTTCCAAATTTATAAAAAATCTTTACATGATAGAAAAAAATGTTATTTTCGAAATCTGCATAACTGAATTATGGAAAATTAAAACCTAAACAACTTTTATGAAGTTTAAATTTACAAGTCTATGTTATTACTTTGACAATACTTCTCCTTCCACTTTTTTTTTTTTGACAGTAGTTGTGTATCAGGTTTTCATATTATTCTGTTCACTTAACTGTTTATAGTTGGAACTTGTCTAATTATTTTGACTGATGTCAAAGACTAATTTTCATCATATTAATATAAAGTTTATTGAAACAATTCTTTAATGTTTGAGAAAAGTGAACCAGTTACATATACTTTATTGTTTTTATGTTAAGAGATGTTTCTACTGCATATGAAATTTTATGGACTGCATCTGCCTTTATATAGGAGTGTATGGTCTATGTATGAAAGTCTATATCAGTGTAGATGAAAACTTTAGCATCATTCATTCATACATCCAAGCAGATGCACATTATAAATACAGTACATATAAATAAGTACAGACTGCACTGTCTAAATCTTATCTGGAGATACAGAAATGCTTAAGTGTGAACTACTGTTAAATTGTTTAAATACAGTTTTATGTTGCATGAATATTAGTATATTTCCAAATATGATGTGAAGTAGTAGTAAAATTCAAAATGCATAAGATAATGAAATTTAGTCCTTTATGTATCAATATGCATGATAAAGTAAGATTTGTACTGTTTAATAAATATGTTAATACCATATATCCCCAATTCAACAGGCTTAAGCAAGCTATCCCGGAAGTACCAAACTCTACATCAAGGAGAATCTCCAAGTAGGGTCAGTCCAACTGTGAAAACCATGTCTCCAAGCCCTGTGTTTGAAACAACACCGCAAATGAGAAAATCTGTGGAATTGTTCTCAGTGCTTTACAATGAGTTTTTAAAATCTACATCCATTGAGACTTCTTGTGGTTCAGAAGCAGATAAGCTAAATTTGGAAGCCATAAAAAACATTTCTAAAGAAAATGAATGTTTACCCAATGACTCTAAAAATTCTCCAGTTCAGCATTTGTCAAAATCCTCAATTAGTGATATTAAACTTTTAGAACCTAAAACAAATAAAACAAGAATATCTTCTACTAAATTGAGTGAATCACAAGATTCATTGAGCATAAAGAATGTACTTAAGGAATGTAACTTTACAACTACAAGTGCTGTAAATGCTAAACAATCAGGATCAGAGGATATTTTCCTTGAGGATTCACCTCTAATGGAATCTACAAGAATTGATTTCAGGCAGTGCACAATACCAAGTTCAAAGAAGTTATCTGTGGATACTCATGAAGGTTTAGTAGTTAACAATGTGAATGTTTTATCCGACAAAGCATTGATTCACAAAAAACATTTTAAAAATGATGAAGTCGGTGTTAACAGCTCTGTTTCTGGAAAGTCTTGCTTGCCTGGAAAAGTAAGTAAGACAAACAATTCTAAAAATGTTATACAGTGTACAGAGCATGAGATGAAGGTATTAGCTCATACTGGCTCAATTATTGTTATCTCAGACAGCGAGGATGAAAAAACTAAAAAGCCAAACAAAGCCTGTCACGTAGGTGGATCTTCAGAAATGGCACTTTGTAGAAAGCTATCATTTAAGTCTTCCTCAAGTAGCCCTGAGACTAATAACATTTCAGAGGGAGTTGACAGCAACAGAAAACCACAAAGTGCAATCCCTAAGATGTTGAGCACAAGTAATCCAAGCCAAGAAAAACCTGTCCAAAGTAAAGTAAACAATAAGTCTTTAAATAGGAAAGCCAAATGTCAACCCAAAGTTACTCCTCAGCAGTGTTCTACAGCATTGTCAAAAATGAAGGTATTATGCATGTAAATTTTATACTAGATTGCAATTTTTTACCTGAAATGAAGACTTGTCTGTCTCACAATAAATCAGTTTTATTGTTCACAGATACCTGCCCGGCATGGCCAAGTGGTTAGGGTGCTTAACTTGCAATCTGCAAGTTACGGGTTCAATTCCCTGTCTCACCAAACATGCTCGCCCTTTCAGCCTGTGTGTGTGTGTGTGGGGGGGGGGGCACAATATAATGTGATGGTCAATCTCACTATTTGTTGATAAAAGAGTAGCCCTAGATTTGGTGGTGGGTGGTGATGACTAGCTGCCTTCCCTTTAATCTTCCACTGCTAAATTAGGGATGGCTAGTGCAGGTAGCCCTCGTGTAGCTTTGCGCTAAATTTAAAACAAACACGTTCACAGATATCCTTTGGTATATGCCAAAGAATAAGGTATTTTAAACTTGGCCTTGTGAGCGCTGATATACAAAGGTAGGCTTTAGGTTACAGTTATTGGGAAGTTGACATGCTTCCAAGTTGCATGCATATGTAGTCATTATAGATATATTCCTTTTTATTAAGTCAGCTATAACAGTACTGATATTACATGTAACAATACATTCATATCATGTTGTATAAACAAGTAACTGCAAAATATAACTCAATTTCACAAAATTAGAAGAAGGAAAAACTAATTTCTTTATCATTAAGTCCTCAACCTTAACTTTTGAAGGCACTAGCAAATGGTTGGTAGTTTTTTTTTTTTTTTTGTATTGGAAAATTCAAGAATGCTACTAGCAACATCATTCTCTTCTAAAATTAACTACCTGTGTCATAACTCATTATTTCATGTATTAAATATTAATATATTTGTATGTATCCTATATCTATAGATAAATACTCTGTATCATGTTTTCTTTTCAAATATCAAAACTCTTTAACTATGTGTTTTATTTTTTGTTTCATAAGTGCCTGGATAAACAATTTATACTGTACCCTACTGTTGATTGTTTTTTATACTTAAAAAGTATTTTATTATTCCAATACGATCATTCACCTCCATACACAGATATCTGTTTTCCTTTTGAAGTCATGCTAAATTGCCTGATAGACTTGCAAGACCTTCTACCCACAGGAGTGTGACACACTTTGTGTAAATGGTCCCTTTACATTCATGTGCAAAAATCCTAAATTTTTCTCAGCAAAGTCTTCCAAAGATATGTTTATTTTTGCTGATACTTGCAGTATTTTACATAACTTCACTTTCTTTTCAAACTTTCAGTATGAATTCACAATTTATTGTGAATTCTTATTCTGCTGAAGTGAGTGCAAATATCACTCACAATCACCAAAAATTTAGAAAGTTATTTGCTGCCAGTAGTCTCCTCTTCCATCCCTCCCACACTATTCCCTTCACAGGATTTTGAATCTGAAGTTGAGATGGCTGAAATGAAGCAATTTTTTTACCTCCTGCCTTTACCTAGGGTATCTCCATTCCTTCTGAAGAACAAGTTCAATTGTCTTCAGGTTTTCTAAGAACTTATTACCCAGGTTTGGACCATTCTTTTTCCTTACCCCATTACTTATAATGTTTCCTGATCTCATTTACATAACCTTTTCACTTATGATTTCTTGATTTTTTTTTCCATCTTCCTCTGATATTTCCATTTATGTTTCATTCTTTCTAGAACAGATTCGCTTTTGTATATTATGCCACATCCTCCATGCCTGACAGTTTCCTACCTAATTACTCAAAGTCCCTCTCCCTTTCCTTTTTTAGATATCCAATCCTTGGAGTCTCATTTGCAGTCTGGGGACAAACTGTTTGTCACCCATGTCTCTGTCCTGTACCCAAATTTCATGACTATGTACTGTCCTTATTACCCTCTTTTGATACCTTTCCTCTTATGGGTACTCTGCTGTTCCCATAATGAGTTTAAAGGGTACATTCCTTTCTCTTCCATTACGCATTCAACTTCCTCTGCACTTTAACCTGTCATTTGGCTCCTTATTGTTGGGACCTCTTGTGTAGAGATACCCTACCTCCCCATGTTTCTTTACCACCTCCTTCCTTCTTGACCTTTGTTTGTCCCCTTACTTCCCTGGAATCAAGTGCTAAGGCAGCCCATCATCACTCTTCTCTTTCCTCATTATTTTCGAGTTGTCTCAATCTCACTCCTCCATCTATCCCAGGACCTCACCCACCCCTCCTCCCTGTTCAGTTCCATTTTTCCTGCCTTCCAGCTCTTCCTGTCCTCCTTTCACCCAAAGGCTTTCCCATTGTCCTTACAGTCAGTGACCATCCAGTCAGTTCAAGTCCTGTCTGTCCCAGTTTACTCATTTGTAGGCTCATTTTGTTTCAGACAAATGGGTCATTCTAGTCTTGACCCAGAGTCTTGCTCTTTACTTACTCTTTAAATCATAGCCTTTCATCCCTTTTCAGTTCCTGCCTACCACCAATGTCTGGATGGAGCAGTTTCACACCTATTGGAGAAGCAATCCATAGAGCGAGTTCCTTACAATTTTCTGGGTTATTACTCTTGCATCTTCATAATCACCATAAGAAACTGGGGGCTGGTACCCGTTAATTAACTTATCCATCATCACTTAAATTTCATTCTCCCTCAATTTCAGATGGATAATTATTTCTATCTTCTCTGGTCTTTCAGCCAGAGCTGTGGATGACTAAGACAGATAAGTTGGATACATTTCTCTATTCCTATAGCCCCTGCCTCATGACCTTACCTCATGTTTGTCCACGGGGGCCGTGTCTATCATTTCCATGACCTTCCATTTGGAATAGCCATCTCCCCTATGTTTTCAATTGCATTATCTGGGCCTTTGCTCACCATCTACATTGTCTGGGACTACAGTTCCACTTCTTCATGGTTGGCAGGCTTCTTCTCTCCCTTTCCTGAGTGGAATCTGCAAACCAAACTTCACTTGTTTCGTGGAGCCATTTGCTTGGAATGGCTCATCTACATTTCCAACTTCTTGCTACCCTGTCCTAATGTCTTATTCACTTCTAGATATTTTTTTCAGCTCTCTCCTCAGTTGTGCCCAACTTTATTCTCCTTGACTATTAGTTCTCATAAGTCTACTCACCTAAGTCTGCTAGTTTTCTTCTCCAAACCGTGCATTAGTTTTTCTATTTAGGGACTATAGCCTCTCTGAAACCTCTCATTCCACTTGGCCATACTCATATGCATCCCCTTCAGGTGGGCTCTATGTGTTTCATGAAATTTTTCCAGGAATCGACAGTCCTCACGGGTCCTTCTTCCTATCCTGGTGGCTGGACCACTTGAACTACACCACTGGTGTTCCCGTACCTCCTTCCAAGCCAGACTTTTCCTATTTCCCACTCATCCCTCACTGGGTGGGGAGCATTCGCATATGAATTTCCCACTTCAGGTTCCTGGAATTCTGAAGTGAATTCTCTTCACATCAGAATTTGGGTAATGCTTGCAGTCCTATGGGCATGCTCCCATTTCTCCCTCTCCTTGATGGATATTATGATTATGGTCCACTTGGACAATTCCATGGTAGTGTCTCACATAAACTGTTAATGGGACACCTGTTTGAAGAACATCTGCTTCCAGACATTAGATCTCATCTTTTTGGGCCTATTCCTATTGGGTGAGCTTGATTTTGATTGCCTTCCCTGCTCCAGGCTCTCAGGACATCATTGCATACTGTTTCTCATGATGTATCCACTACCCACCCTCAGGGTGGTCTCTTCACCCACAGGTTTCCATTGGGTTTTCTCCCAACTGGTTATTCCTTTATTAGCTGCATTTGCCTCACCACTCTATGCCAAACTGCCCCATTCTGGTCTCTTGTTCCTCACCCATCAGTACTGGCTGTGCATACTCTCAGCTAAGAATGGTCTTGTTTCTTCTATGCCTATCATCCTCTCTGCCTTCACACTAGTGTTCTTACTCTGTCTTAGGACATCCAATATAAAGTACTGTTGGTCACCCACTACCAGCCCACCCAACCTTGGTTCCCTGTTCTATGTCTCCTATTGGCCAAACCCCTTTTTCCTCTTCCCACATTTCTGTCTCTTCTTGTACACCTCTCACATCCTTTTTCCATTTTGATCTGTAATACCCTCTTCGCGTGTGAGATTGTTGCCATGCAAATTGGATTTTCCATCTGTGTAGTCTTCTTTCTCTCCCATCCCTATCATTGTTCCACCTATTCTCTGTACCAGTGAAAATGATGGATTTTTTGTCTTTGGTCTTTCCTTTGTTATTTTCTCCCTGACCAACCTAACTTAATTACTTCACCTCTTTCTTTACTTGGTTAATTAACTGCAACTTGTCTGTTTCTACAGTTCTGGGGTCTCAGGATGCTCTGTCCACTGTGTTCCACCTTTCTTGGTTCTGCATTGTTTTTGTTCCTTTCTCTTATGCTCCTTTTTACTGCACAACCCATCTTTTCCCACTCCATTGTCTGACTGGGAAATGAATGTACTTTTTCATGCCCTTCTTTTCAAACCTTTTGTTGCTCTCCCTCTATTGCCTTTCTCTTACACTTTTCTTTTCCTTCTTACAAGTGCTTTTCCTTGTTCTGACTTTTGCTGTATCGACTTCATCCAGAACTAATTTCTACAAATCCTGCATTCTTCTCTACCCTGACTGTTTCTTCCTTCCTAAGGCATTAGATACTCAGGAAGGTGGTGTTTCATGTGAAACTTAGGTGGGAGTTTTCACAAGGCTGGTGGCATGCAAGTCTCGGGCAGATTAGTGTGACTTCAAGTATATAAAGGTGAGTGTGTATCAGAAATACATATTCAATTAAGTAAAACTTTAAAGTTATGGTTTAAGCACCAAAAACTTGTGAAGTACTAGAAGTCAATGGTCCTAACATTTGTGTTAATCATAAACAAATTAAGAGGAATGTGGAAAAAAAAGTTTGCAGTTGATATGGTTTTTATTTATTATTACCTCCAGTGAGCAACCTCTTAGGCATAGTAACTATGCTGCCATTAAAACTGCATTGCTGAGGCTGGATGATGTAAGT